ACATGTAAATGATGACAATTTATATTTTGGGGGGAACTCTCTCTTTAAGTGTGTTGCCAGTTTTGTTTTCAAGACCAAATGGATTGATCAAGACTTTTCTTTGTATATAATCTCCCACACAACATCCTACTCGCATTAAACTGATTTACTGGTAACTGAATATTCAAGACATGAAATAAAAATAATAAATAGCTCCTTCTCGTTATATATTAGTTTTATATTATCTGCCTATTAATTACCTACTGCTGCTCTAAGATGATAATTTCGCTGAATATGGAGCTCGAGGTGCTGTAATGTGCAAAATTCAAAGCTATGATGAACTGTCTAATCACAAATGGTTTAATATCTCTTCTATGCTAATATAAAGATCCCTCCGCAGATCGACGGAGAGGGGATTCACAGAGTAATGAAGTGCCTGCAGGTGTAAATCACTCAAAAGATCATTTTGTTTCGTAACGTGTAACAGAAAATTTACACTGATAAAATATTAAAGCAAGAAAATGGATTTCTGCCACACTGCCGTCTACAAAGTTCAAAAGTTTAATGAGCACTTCTGCTTTTTTATTTATCGACTCGTTCTTCAACTCCGACTCAAATTTTCCACGTAACATAACTCATGATGATTTGCCTCGAAAAAGAGATGTGGCCAAATTGCATCACATTCTGGTTACATACAGTACTTATTTGAGGCAACAAAACAACAACACTATTTACGGACGATCTCCTTTCCTTAAGAAAAGAGGATATGTATGACAAATTAAAGTAGATGTTGCGAAACAGATGCGAAACAAAATGTCTGAGTCACAGTACACTGACAGATTATGCAAATGTACAACAACAGAAATCTAGTCAACAGACTCCAAAAACAACAATGTAACGATGCATTTGATTCAATGTTGCAATGCATGATGAAAATATCTAAACAAGGTAGGAGTCTGAAAATAATTTGTATGAGAAACAGCTGCAGAAAATGACAGATGGATAGTTATGCAATGAAACAAACAATGATTTTTACATCTATAAATGATAATCCAGGCCTGAAAAAAACAGGAGTCTTGTTTTGCAACCAGATGCATTCGGGAAAGACTGTGATCATGTCACACTGAAAATGACCAAATGACGAATACGGACGGCCAAAAAAATACATCACTCTTTTCTGACAGCAAACCCACAACAATTACTACACAAAAAGTAGAGTTTTCCCTGGTGGGCCGCACTGCCGAGGCGAAACCCGACACGCTCCTGAAACCCTGAAACAACACAGAGGGAGCGGCAGAATTCCCGAAGGAACGGAGAAGGCTGTTTTGGCTTCAAGCAACAATGCTGCGGCCGTTTCCTGTGTGGGCTTCCTGTTGGTCATGCGTTGCGTTCAGCACTTTGAGTCCAGAGACACCGTTCAGGTCACGGCAATTAAACACATAATACATTAATACTTAGGTGACAAAACAACTCCTGAACAAACAAAAACAGATTTATCGAGACATCAACTTTTATCAGTGACTGAAGTACAATATCCTCTCTGAAATGTACTCTACTTCCTAAACGCTTCCTCGCTTTCTTTACGGCTTGCCAATAAATGTCAAATTCACAATGCGGCCACTATCTCGCTTTCCTTTCATTTTCTACCTGAAAAAAATGCTTTCCTCCGACAGGGTTTAAAACATTTATTTCAGCGTCAGTGGCTTCATGCATTATTAGTGCGGTGCTTAGTCAGACACTTCCAGATAGTCAGAGGAGGATTCCTTGTAAACAATAACAAATGAAGCAGCTGGCTGCTGTGCTGAGAAGAGGACTATTTTGATTCGGTGAGATCAGCAAAAGCTTCTACTGCTTTGGGACGATTTACCCATAAGCACCTGTCAGTTACTTTAGGAGTAGCATCGTGACAAGCATAAAAAAAATAAAAAAAAACAAGTATGAAGAGAAGAGAAACTCTCATAATAATGAAAGAATGGCTTGCTCGCCAATGGATCTTCTGCAGTGAATGGGTGCCATCAGAATGAGAGTCCAAACAGCTGATAAAAACATCCCAATAATCCACAACCAATCCAGTCCATCAATTACAGTATATTCCTGTGAAGTGAAAAGCTGCGTGTTTGTAAGAAACAAATCCATCATTAAGGTGTTTTGTTGATTCTGGCTAAAATATGAGTCGTCTATCCATAATATTGCTTTCTCTTCTGAAAAAGTCATCTCGTCTGAATCAGGAGAGAAATATGCACAAATAAAGCACTGTTTACAAGCCAAAACAGATCTAAACAAATATGTGGGTGGATTTTGATGTGAGAGGACAACAGCAGGTGGACTTTCTCACTGTAGTGAGTGTTATTATGGATTACAGTCTTGTATTTTAGCTGAAAGCAACAATTTGTTAAAGTTGTAAAATGCCTTGATGGATTAGTTTCTTACAAACTTGCAGTTTTTCACTTCATAAGACATTAATTGATGGACTGGATTGGTGTGGATTACTGTGATGTTTTTATCAGCTGTTTGGACTCTCATTCTGACGGCACCCATTCACTGCAGAGGATCCATTGGTGAGCAAGTGATGCAATGCTACATTTCTCCAAATCTGTTTGATTAAAAAAAAAAAAAAAACAACATCTAAAAACTACATCTTGGATAGCCTAAAGGTTACATTTTCAGCTAATTTTAATTTTGGGGTCAACAATTCCTTTAAGGTAAGACTTGTATGTGTCAGAAAAGACAATCCAAACACAGCCTCAACTGTTATGTTCACTTGGCAATGTTGTCCTTTCATGTATGATTCATAAATGTGACATCATTAAGCTCACACAAACAGTCCTATCTTTCTGTCTGAAACACACGCGCACAAACATGCACACGCCTATGCAAAAACTATGAGCGCATTGCACTGCGGTAGTTACAGGACGTATTCAAACCCAGTCATCCTAGTTTCCACAAACTCAATCTGCATAACTGGCCTTTCCACGAAACTCCTCCCTGAACAATTCCATTCATTTCCACCAGGAAACACCTTGGCAGGGTACAGCTGTTAACTGATCTGAAGTCAGTGTTTTCTACAGATCTGCGGGCGGTTAGGAAACTGAACTGATCCCAGATGAGAAGTGCCACAGTGGAAGACGCAGCCGGTTCTGCCGCATGCCGTCTCGATTTCACTGGTGTGGGGAGAAACGTAGGCAACAGCAGATCAAATACAAGCATGCTGAAAACTAAATGACTGTTGCCCAATCTCACAATACTCAAGTCTCACATTCTTTGGTCACTACAAATATCTATAATTTGTTTACTGGGACTAAGGAGTCACCACACCATGGCATATCCTGAGGAATCAGAGGGAAAGCAAATGTGTGCGTCAATTTTCTTGTCTAACTAAATGAGCAAAAAAAAAAAAAGTTGACATAACTAGCCTCGTGCATAAGTGCCAAACTTCTGCAATCGCATGGTGTTCAAATGAAATGCACGGGCAGCAAACTTTAATGAGAAGAGTGCTTTGGCAGGTGTGTGGAGCCAATTTAATCAGCTGTAATGTTTGTTGCAAAGAAACGAATAACATTTGCATCGCCAGATGCAATACCTCTGCTACAACTTCTCTACCTCTAAAAAAAAAAAACTTCTGTTGGCTCCAAAGGGGGAAGAAAAACTGCAAAACTACAATTCCTCAAAACGTGATGATAATTTATCCGTTTTCATTAAGCTATTTTTACTCCCCAAAGACATAGCAATAATATTAAAAAATTAATTTAATTCAAAGACAATGTTGAACTAATCTTTAATTTTCATTTACACTGCGAGAACTCATTTTTAATCAGTATGTGTGTATTTCTTTGCAGTAAATACCCTAGGAAGCTTTTAAAAAATCTTTTTAAATGAAGATTTTTTTGTCTTGATTTTCAGCAAGAAACTCACAATGCTTAAAAAGAACAATTTGTAAACGGGTAAAAAAAAAAATTGAGATAAATCCTCTATACAAGTGCATTATCTTGGGATTTTTCCCTGGTTTTAATCATGTTTGGATATTTTCAGTGGAAAAAAAATTAAGAAAATATTTTTTGCAGTTTAAGCCAGTGTAGGTGTATCACATAATTATTGTCTCAAATATATATATTTATATTCATCACTTTAGTTTAAGTGCATTATCTTGGGATTTTTCCCTGGTTTTAATCATGTTTGGATATTTTCAGTGGAAAAAAAATTAAGAAAATATTTTTTGCAGTTTAAGCCAGTGTAGGTGTATCACATAATTATTGTCTCAAATATATATATATTTATATTCATCACTTTAGTTGTAATGTTTGACAGTGTCTTTCATTTGAATTACTTAGGCACGAAGCACAAATACTGCTCTCAGTAAGAGAAGTTTCTCACTGGTGTAAATATGTTAAATATGAGAATACAGCTAATTAAGTTGAATAAATTTACCTTTTTATTATTTTATCTAATATTGTATAGCATTAATCACGCATCAAAGCGGATTCAGACCCAAGTAGTGACATCAAGTGGTGCATAAACTGAACTTTACTAATGAAAATATAAATATTAGCTACCATACACACACCTACGTCACAACATTACACTCTAGACTAGCTTTCAAAAGTAACACTTAAAAAACAAAACACACAATTTTGGGATTTTTCGCGTAAAGGCTCTAAACGTTAACAGTGAGTTGCAATGCCAGTTTAGTTGTGAAATGTTGAGGCGCGTTGCGTTCACCTGGTTCAGGTGCGTTTCCGCCGCATGCGCACTGACGAATGAAAACATGGCGAAGAAAAGTTTGACCAAAACAAAATGTACAAGAGACACATTTACTCACCACGTGAACAATAAACGACTGATATCCCCTTATTCCTTTCAGTGTCCAGTGGAACAGTTTGTAGAGTAGGCTATCAAAGAAAAATCCCTACTTGACTCCTGATGAATTTTGGCGTCAAACTGCTGGACAGAAAAGCGGAAGCGACAGACGACTCACCAAAACACACCGGTAAAGATGTGCACTACAAACACAACACCATAGGCACCTTCGCTCTTATGACTCAATGTTGTTTTCACTCTTTCTTTAGTTAGTTAAAATCCTGTAATGTGAAGTGGACGGTCCCCGCAGTAGTCCGGTGTACAGTACTGGCATGACTTGACTGAGTGAGTGAGTGACTGCAGACACCTGAATTTCCAGCTTGTTACGGTGCTGAGGTGAAACTCCTCCTCTCCTCTACAATACAATACAGTAGCTATGTACTGCAGTCTATCTGTCCCAGTGCAGCACGTCGGAGGGAGGAGTTTCTCCTGCTTTCTCACACTTTCCTCTGCTGAGCAGCGACTCGTTTCGGTGGCTGTGTTTCAAACTTCACGGGGAGAATCGTGACTGTAGAATTTTAGGGCATATCTCCGCGTCTTCAGCTGAAATAGTAGACATGAGAAGTCGCAGTTACGACGTTCGGTGCGTTCAAGTCACTTTGGTCAGAACAAGATGGCGATTTAACTTTAATACATAATGACTGCAGACACCTGAATTTCCAGCTTGTTACGGTGCTGAGGTGAAACTCCTCCTCTCCTCTACAATACAATACAGTAGCTATGTACTGCAGTCTATCTGTCCCAGTGCAGCACGTCGGAGGGAGGAGTTTCTCCTGCTTTCTCACACTTTCCTCTGCTGAGCAGCGACTCGTTTCGGTGGCTGTGTTTCAAACTTCACGGGGAGAATCGTGACTGTAGAATTTTAGGGCATATCTCCGCGTCTTCAGCTGAAATAGTAGACATGAGAAGTCGCAGTTACGACGTTCGGTGCGTTCAAGTCACTTTGGTCAGAACAAGATGGCGATTTAACTTTAATACATAAAATTCAACGATTTTTTAAAACTCTGCATCTACAAAATGATGACTAAAGAATGTGCATCATTGTGTTTTTGCTTTTTTCTGTCAATTTATGAAGGTGATGTCAACTGAATCATTAGCCTATGTGACCCTGGACCACAAAACCAGTCATAAGGGTCTTTTTATTTTTAATTGGGATGTGTACATCATCTGAAAGCTGATTAATAAATAAGCTTTCCATTGATGTATGGTTTGTTAGGATAGGACAATATTTGGCCGAGATATAACTATTTGAATATCTGGAATCTGAGGGTGCAAATAAATCAAAATATTGAGAAAATCGCCTTTAAAGTTGTCCAAATGAAGTGCTTAGCAATGCGTATTACTGATCAAAAATTAAGTTTTGATATATTTATAGTAGGAAATTTACAAAATATCTTTGTGGAACATGATCTTTACTTAATATCCTAATGATTTTTGGCATAAAAGAAAAATCGGTAATTTTGACCCATACAATGTTTTGTTGGCTATCGCTACAAATATAGCCTACCTGTGCTACTTAAGACTGGTTTTGTGCTCCAGGGTCACATATGAAGAGTTCAGATGCTAAAGCCTCTTAAGTGCTGTCTAAAATTTTCATCAAAAAAGAGCATTTTTATCAGGCTCCTATGTTTAGGTTCAGTAATTTTACTCTAATGGCAATGTATAGGTCATTTTCTATGCAATTAAAGTGAAATAACAACATAAATATAGGCGCCTGATAAAAATGCTCATTTTAGAAGAAAATTTCAGATGGCATTTAGAGGCTTTTGCATCTGAACTCTTCATATATTCTACGGTAATTATAGCCTACAATAATATAATATTTTGTATTTGTAACTTATATAGCTAGTTTTATTGTGCATTACAAAAAAATATTTATTTGTATTCATTTGAAGTGCTTAACACTGCCAACACACATTTCAGTTCAAACAACTTGTAAAAGTGCATGTAGCATCCTATGACCCCTTCCACAACAAACGTTTTAGTCATACAGGACCTTCCTCAGTGATCACAAACTTCTGAACCATTTCATTTTTATATACAAATCCTCACAACACAAATGTATTCAATCAATTATACAGTAGACCAGTTACTCAATTGACAGTTGAAAAAAAAAATATTACAATACTTTACCGCTGATTACAGAACCGGCTTTACTGATAAGATGCGCGTTAAATATCGCATGCGATTTATCGTGCAGCCCTACTTAAGACACATGTGAAAACTAACTCTAAACTGACATTTAAAAAGTAAAAAAGAGAACACACTGTGCCCCCAGAATTCAGTCCAACCTTTCAATTAAAATTCAAAAATATAATGATATCGAGATTTTCGTTTGGCGAACAGAATTCACAAAATAAATAGGAATCATTGGAATTTTGACTCAAATTTTATAGATCTGTTGAAAACTTGCCCTTTTGATTTAGACTAACTGGACTATTGCATATTGCTGCTGTTTTACATTATTAAAACATGCATCAGGCAGTATTCAGTATACACTGAGCAGTATGCAGTAGCCTATAATAATTTCTATTGTAAACATAGCCAAAGGGTTTCCCTCATATAGTTTGATCAGTGCATATGTATTGTCAGCTTTGGACCTTTAACGGCTTTGTATTATTTATTTACACTGTTTTATCTGGTGATGAAAGCAGTAGTCTGGTGCGATGTGATGTAAGACTGCTGTTATCTGGACACCATCTGTCCAATCCTGTTACATAAATCGATGAGGGAAAAATATTTAACTGTTTTTGAACCATTTAGTCCATTACAATGTGCAATGCTGCTTCTCGTCTGAGTCATATTTAATCATCGCTGTCCCAATATCTCTTTATTAGGAGGTACAGTGCGCATGTATTCAGTGCTTGACCACTGTGCTGCGCTCGAATGGGCCGATGGAATAGAGTGCAAAAGGAAATCAGCCACATGATTTGAGTGCTCTTAGAGAGGTCACAGTGTATCTGACGGGACACTCCTTTCCCAAGGAAGTACTTGGAAAGCCCATTTAAGAGACAATGCATTTTCCTTCTGTAAGTCTTTTCCCTTAGGAACATATAATGTTTCCTTCTCTGTTATTCAAGGTCTTGAAATGACTTGCAGTCAGTGTGGTGCAAAGTCCTTTATTAGGGTAAATGTGAGGGTGTTATAAACGTATCAGCGAATAAAACTGGCTTAAAACGCGTGGATTCAAAGAATAGCAGTTTCCCCACTTTGCAGGACCAAGTGTAGAATGATAATAAGGACATAGAGAAGATTATAGACGATCATTAGTCGGTAAATGGAGCGTACATTTTCAATTTTACAGCAGGAGTTTGAGCCATGGCTTATGAGCATTAATTGTGTTAGTTTCATTACTCAGTTCTCATGTTAGAATTATGGCTTGATTATATTTCACGTTTGCATTAACTGTGTAGATCATTTGGGCCGTTGCATTAAAACTGGGTGAGATCCTAAAGGCAGCAGGTCATTAAATAATTGGGCTGGTGGATGTGTGCCATGCTGCTATTGATGTGTGCTGAGGCAAAATCAGTTCATACTAGTTCAAACATAAAGCTTTGATTTGTTTATGACCTTGGTTTAGTACAACTGCTCTAATGTTTGTATGCTGGCTGATATTATTGCCCCAAAACTTCTGTAGTTGGTCACTCTTATTATGCTTTAAAGTTGACATGAAACAACAATGTTCTCACATATGGACGGACCCCTTGGCATCATTTTTTAATGCGTCAAAACCATACAATATTTGAGGAACAAAGTGAAGCTTAAGGATTTAATCGGTTGAAATTATCCCGCTCTGTTAACAGTCACATCTCATTTAAAACATAAATCCAAACTTTAGCATGACAAAACTGGTCACGAGCCAATCACATTTCACAAACAGACCTGACATAATGCTTCTTCAGGCGGTAATTTTTGAATATGTTTGTGACTGAATAAGAATAAGCATTGCAGCTGGAGATGGTGATTGCTTTTGATTCTGTTTCTCACATAAATCAGCGTTTGGTCTCAAGAATACTTGGGATATTTGTAATGTTTTAATAAATTGTGACTTTAGTTGTATCTGCCTGTTATATCCTTATATTGCGTTATATTGAGAAATGCTTAGGTTTAGGGGTAGGGGTCAGGTTAGGTGCTCAGAAATGTGTAAATAGTGAAAAGTAAATCAAATCATTGTGGCTGTTTAAATTGAAAACCATAATCCAACATATAGGTATGTCATAAATAGTGATGCCAAGGGGTCCATATGTGACAAATTGGAAATGAAAATGTGTTGGAAATGTTAAGAAATGGAAAAGGAGGACAGGACTCGATTTGATCCATCTGTGATTGTGAAAAAGGGAAGTTGTTTTCAAAAGCGGGCATGTTTTTATATTTTAATGAAAAATCACAAAAACAAACCTTTTTTTTTTCCTTGCAGTAAAGAGCACTAATGATTTGTTCACCAGGAATGCATACCGTATCAAGAAAGTTAACAGGGTTCATTAGATTTTTATGTTTCTTATATAATTTATATTAAAATTCTCTAAAAAATGGTTTGATTTGAATAATCTTCACTGCATGTCTTGATATAATATATTCCCGTTTTAGTGCTCTTTTAATAAATTATTTCTGATGCGATTGCTAGAAAATACTCAAGTCCGTGATTTAAAAAAATCAAAAAGGTAATTGTGACTTTTAATATCACAATTCAGACTTTTTTCCAGAAATGCGGAGAAAAATCACTGAATTGCGAGATATAAAAGAAGAATTCTGATATTTTTTCCTTGCAATTCTGAGTTTACTTCTTGCAATTCTGAGAAAAGACAACTGTGAGAAAAAAGTCTGAATTTTGAGATGTCACAATTACCTTTTTTATTTTTTTTATCAAGTGGCGGAAACAAGCTTGCTATTTCAGTGCATTTAGCACCTGGTAAAACTGGATTGCAGGTGATTAGTGAATAAGATGCAGGTTTTTAGTGACTGTTTAGCATGCAACTGTTTAGTAAATTCACCCCTGACTGTTTACCAGGAGCTGACTGTGATGTATTTTGCTTGTATGTTTACTGTAGTCATGGTAGCTCTAGCACATGCTGTAGATATCTCCGGCTGTCTTGGTATTGGCAGTTAGAGCAGACAAACTGGCTCTGACAATTAGGATAAGAGAATATATTTTCCATTTACACGACACTGAGAAAAACTGAGGCCACGTTTTCAATGTTGATTGAAACAGTCAGCTAAAGCCTTCTTTCCCCAAAACATTTGCTAGTATTTCTCATGATATTTAGGGGGAAATGTATGGAAAATTTGCTTGAATGCAACATGCAGAGCTTTATTGCAACTCCTTTCCACTTACATCGACCACATCAACCCCA